TGAATGACTCAACCCCTAGGTCAAAAGGTCTTCCCAAAGGTTGTAACGTAAGGCAAAAAGGGTAAAGGTGCGCTAAATTTAAAATTTGGTGGTTAACCTAAATTGTGAAGCAAAGATTGCGCATTTCTTTACTCCATAACCAAGTAATCACCAAACAAAAATACCAACACCCCCAAGCTTATTCAAAGCTAAGATCACCAACATATACACGAAAAGCGTGAGAACGCTTCCCCCCGCAATGCTCAAAAAGGAAGAATACTCACATAAAAATATTTTTGCATTTTTCACTTTTTTTTTTGTTTTTTTTTTCATATTTCTTTATTAGTGCTTTGTTCTCGCCTCGTTTAACTTTGGACGGCTTTTTCAAATTTGCACTTGCTTTGTCTTTGCCTTTTTTTACTTTGGACGGCCTTTTCATTTATTCACTTTCCATTATTCACAAAATATACACAACACAAACACGCTTTCAAGAGAACCAAATATCCAAACTCCTCCACCACAAACTCCAACAATAATGAACAATTGCTTCACAAAAACCAAGAATGGAAACAAAAATGAAACAAAAGGCTCAAGATCTAGAGATGTGGCTTGAAAGGAAGGGAAAATGGCTCAAAGGGTTAGCAAGTAGGAAAATGTATCCTTAAACCCAAAAGTAAAAATAAGGAAACTATCCTAGAAAAAGGAAAAATACCTCTCCGAAAAGATGCCTTTGTCCTCCCTAGGTGGTTCGGTCTCGGTCTTAGGAATCTTACGTTAAGATTCAAGATTAAGTTTGCGAAAGTCAAGAATCCATGCCACTCATGCAAAGATATGATGAAAGCTTGAAAAAGTATGAATCTCACATGGTTGTAGCAAAAACTAACTAAGATTGTCAAATCGAAGATAGGGAGCAACTACCAATATTCCACAAACAAGTAGAATCCGGCTTCATGATCCCCCTAGTTCTAGACAACTACCCAATCATGCTTTATCCTAGAATCAACCAACCGTATTCTCAAACCGTGCATACCATGACCACCTAGGAAGGTTATTATTCAAAAGCAAGAGTCCAATGTTTACAAGTCCGAGTCAAAATAGAAAGAGTGAAAATTTAAGCCTCAAAAAGCTATGTACAAAACCAAGGACAAATAGAAAAGAAAATAAAATATGGAAAACCTAGATAAAGGAAAATTAGGAGAACAAAGAAAAGGACAAATATGCAATCATAACATATAATTCCCAATCGACAAACAAGCGCTCAAATGGCCACATCGCCACCCCAAACACACTAGGTGTTATAATCATACATCCTCGAACCGTTCAACTCTCCTAAAACTAATCCTAATCTAAGCAGCCAAGAAGAGTAAAGGGAGAAAAGTAATGAGATAAAACAAGAAAGGCCTCACCCAAGCATCCAAGCTATGCTACAATAATAAAGTAGCAAGAACGACCTCCTCTAAGAAGCTTCGATGACCAAAGCAGTGGTTATGAGCAAGGTGACAAAAAGAAAAGAAAAGGACTATATACAAAATGAAATTGTTAGTAACTTCCAAACAAAATCAAACAAAAGTAAACTTACGCGAAAACTATGTACAAAGAACCAGAGAAACCATCATCATCATCAATAGAAGGGACCACAAAACATCATCATCAAAAACCAAGACAACAAGATAAACAACATACCAACGAGTCTACCAAGGGCGAAGCAAAAGAAATCCATCAAAGCCCTTTCAAAAACATCCCCAAGAGTCCAAGGGGCCTCCCCAAAAACCTACCCTAAAACATCCTATTTGATTCCCCCCGTACAAAATAAGGGCATCGACCGCGATGCCTAAAAACATTCAAATATAAAAGGGAGGAAACAAAAAGGAAATCAAACAACCAAGTGGGAAACTATTGGCTACTAGGGCCGGCACCACCATCATCCACATCCTAACCTCCGGTATAGCCGGGAGGGAACCCATAGCGACCCTTAAAAAGGTCAAGTTAAGATGTGGATAATTGGTCAAAAGGCTCCGGTTGCATACAGAGGTCGGTGTGAGTGGGGTGAACATAGTAATAGTCGGGGTCACCCCGATAATCACTCCTCCCCGAGACCCGGTAGCCATAATGACCGGACTTATCTGGGACGTCACACCTTAGCTCATCGGGGTTCGCAACCCCGGGCCAATATGGGTACGTGGGGAGGTTGTCACCACCCCAAGATGGCACCGGCCCTTATTGGGGCGGCACATAAGGGTAGTTCACCGGAGGAGTGACCTCCCCCCTACGCATACTAGCGTCATATAGGGCGCTAGTTTGAACAGACAAAGTTTGATGGTTCGAATACATACTTTGCATGCTCAATTGCATGCGCTCCATATGCTCACGCATAGCCTCCATCTCACGGAGATATGCATCTCCCTGGTTGTCTTGTTGGTGATGTTGTTGTCTTCTTCTTCCTCTTTGTTGCGGTTGTTGTTGTTGTTGTTGCCACCTTCTCCTTCTCCACCTTCACCATCATGCCCATCATCATCGTCCTCATCACCATCATTCTCCTCCACAACATTCTCAACCCTCCCGTCATTCTCGGGAATCCTTCAAACAATCCTAGCCTCTCGAGTGATTGAGGTGGCAGCTGGGTTTGGGAGCATACAATGGTGCATATTACGCACTAGCCAAGAGTACCCACCGTTTCCCTTAGACTTAGAAATGAACCACAAGGTGTTAAGTTGCTTCATATCCAAATATATGTCTTCACTCTTTCCTATCGGAGTGCAAGACCTAAGGAAACGCTCTTGCTTGAAATAATACACCAATCTAGTAATCATACCACCACAATGAATCTCACCCGTCTTCTTCCCATTGGCGTTCAACTTACAACAATTCATGAAAAGATACCCAAAATTCAACCTTGGCCCCAAATCCGGCCTTGTAGCCATCCAAAGAACCAAGATCTCCTCCCTCGAAAGCTTCCCAAGATTTTGATTACTAAACACTGTATACCCAAGAATCCGATGGAGAATACAAAGAGTCGGGTGAATGATCTCGCTAGCAAGCGATTCCTTAGAGTCAAACGACTTCTTCCTAGATATGGCTCTCCACCAAGCAACCTCATTGTATTTGGTCTTGTGAAGGGCAACCAAGGGCTCAAAGATGTCGGTATTTGGGTTGAAACCAAGGGCTTTGTTGAATTCCGCAAGGTTCATTGTATGGTTGGAATTGAAAAGTTGAAAAGAGATGATGTAGTTGGTATCCCCCGTCATATTAAACTCAAAGGTTCATTGTATGCATGGTTCCAAATAAGTTCGGGGGGATGACTTTACAAACTCAACCAAACCAAGATTACGGAGCAAAATGTGAAGGTCGGCATCAACACCCAATTTTTCCATATCCTCGGGAAAATAGTTGCGGGACGGTCTAAATTTCCGGGATTTCATTTTATTATAGATAGGGGTGTGTTTAGCCCAGTTATGAAATTTGAGAGCGGGTAAAGGAGGAGGTGGTGCATTATCTTGAGTAGTCTGGGTTTGAGGGGGTTCGGTGTTTGAAGGTTGGCCACGAGAGGATTGGCCGGGTGATCGGTTTGGACTTCTCTTGCTACTCTTAACTCTCCTCAACAAATCCATAGTTTCAAGCTCAACCAACACAATATGCAACACAACCACCAACGTGAACAAACCTCCGTTCACAAGACCACCCAAAACCACCACAAACTACAAAGTACTTGTTACAAGAAACAAACAACCAGAAATCCAACAACAACCAACAATATTAACAATCTATCACAAAAAAAAGTACAAAATCATCCAAAATAATTCCAAAACCACCATACAAACAACCAAAAACAACATACTCAAGCTTAATCAAGGCCACTCACCAATGCATAAAAATCAATTGAAATTGAACAAAATAAAACAAAGGTGAGAATTATACCAAGATTGAAGACTCAAAACAAGCATAAAACCGAGTAGACTCGAAATTCCTGAAGAAAACCACGAGAAAGAAAAGCAAACTTGATGAAAATGGAGTATGAAGGAAGTTTGGATGGAAATTTAAGAGAAAATAAGGGTGAATTTGAGTATAATTGAGTGAAAGAAATGATTTGGGGGTTAGGGTTTGAGAGTAGGAAGAGAGAGAATGGGGAAAATTAAGAGTGAAAGGGAAAATAAGAGAGGAGAGAGAAAGAGAGAGGAACCAGGCTAATTAAAACCCAGATCCCTGCGCCCTCTTTCAACAAAGCCGCGCGCGCTCCTATATTGCCGCACCCGCGGACAGACCGCGGGGCAACCTCGGAGAGTTCCTGGAAAATTCCGAAAATTTCATACCTGACCATGGGTCGCGCCCTCTCTAATTCGCCTGCGCCCGCTCCAAAATTGTCGCGCCCGCGGAGAGATCGCGGAGAGTTCCTGATCCAATTTTATAAAATGAGCCGCACCCTCTCAGAATTTCCCTCGCGCTCTCTCTAAGGCACCCGCGCCCGCAGAGAACCCGCGGAGAGAGCGCGGAGAGCTACTGATCCGATTCCCACTATTGAAAGCAAGGGAACTCGAGGCCTCTCCAAGCCAGCGGGGTGCCCTCTCCCTTGCACTCTAAAACCTCTTATCACACTAAACAAACACATTTAGTCCATATATGATGAATGAAGGCACCCTACAAAACAAACAAAAAACACAAGCAAGGGTTAGAGTAAAAATCAACAAAAAACCAAAAATAAAATAAAGAAAGGAAAAGAGAGTAAAGGTGAGAATCCGGGTTGCCTCCCGCGCTTTAGTTTAACGTCGTTAGCTCGACTTTAACCACCCCACTCAAGGTGGTTTGAAAAGAATCATTTTATGAATAAGACCAACAAACACTCCATCAAAATATTTCTTAAGCTGATGACTGTTAACCTTGAAAGAAGAGGAGGAATCCAAAGGAGAAATCTCCACGGTGCCATTAGCAAAAACATCTTTCACCAAGAAAGGACCACTCCATTTTGACATTAGCTTTCCGGGAAATAACTTCATTCTCGAGTGGTAGAGGAGGACTTTATCACCCACCTAAAACTCCTTCTTCTCAATAAGCTTATCATGAGCTTCTTTGGAACGAGCTTTGTAGGTGCTAGCATAGTCATAAGCATCAAGTCTAAGCTCCTCTAGCTCATGAAAATCCAACCACCTTTTTTCCCCCGCACTTTCTAAATCAAAGTTTATCTTTTTTATTGCCCATAAAGCACGGTGTTCAAGCTCCACCGAGAGATGGCAAGACTTGCCATAGACAAGGCAATATGGAGTGGTACCAATAGGTGTCTTGAAAGTTGTCCTATAAGCCCAAAGAGCATCATCTAACTTGTCTGACCAATCCTTTCTATTCCTTGCAACCGTCTTCTCAAGAATGAGCTTTATTTGACGATTGGAGACCTCGACTTGGCCACTCGATTGAGGATGATATAGGAGGCCGAACCGTTGATGCACTCCATGTTTCCTCAACATCTTTTGGAAGGCGTTGTGAACAAAATGAGATCCGTTATTGCTTATCAAAGCCTTAGGCACGCCAAACCTTGGGAAGATGATTTTGTTGAACAACTTCAACACTACTTTGTGGTCATTAGTAGGGGAGGCAATGGCCTCAACCCATTTAGAAACATAGTCCACAACCACAAGTATGAATTGGTTACCATATGAAGATGGGAATGGTCCTATGAAGTCAATCCTCCAAACATCGAACACCTCTAACTCAAGAATGGGCTATTGAGGCATCTCATTCTCTTGGAGATATTCCCAACCCTTTGACATCGGTCGCATTACTTTACAAAGCCCCACGAGTCTTTGAAGAGATGTGGCCACCACAAACCACATTGAAGAACCTTAGTGGCGGTTTTTGAAACGCCCATATGACCACCACTTGGATCCGAATGGCACATCTTTAGAACACTTGGCACCTCTTCATTCGGGACACAACGCCAAAGAAAGCCATCCACTCGAGTTTATACAAGATTGGTTCATCCCACAAGTAATGGCTTGCCTCCTCTTGAGCTTCTTCTTTTGGTTCTTGGAGAAAGAAGGTGGAAACTCCCCACATGCTAGAAAGTTTACCAAGTCGACATACCATGGGAGATCCTTAACCTTAATGGCATAAAAGACATCATCAAGCATTCTATATTCAATTGGTAGACAATCATCATGAATTTAATCACCCTCAAGGCGAGAAAGATGGTCCGCCACAACATTTTCCGCACCCTTCTTATCCCTAATCTCTATTTCAAAAGTTTGTAATTCAAGAACCCAATGGATAAAACTTGGCTTAGAATCTTTCTTGGCAAAGAGATATTTGAGAGCCGCATGATCCGTGAAGACAATGGTCTTGGAACCCAACAAATAACACCGGAATTTCTGGAAAGAGTGAACAATGGCCAAGAATTCTTTTTCCGTTGTTGTGTAATTCTTTTGGGCCCCATTTAGTGTCTTAGACATATAGTAAATGATATAAATCTTCTTGTCCACACGTTGTCCCAAAAATCCTCCAATTTCCCAATCACTAGCATCACACATCAATTCAAAGGGTAGATCCCATCTTGGGGCTTGAACAATGGGGGTAGAGATTAGGGCCTTCTTCAATCTATCAAATGCCTCCAAGCATTTATCATTAAAAGCGAAATCAACATCTTTTGAAGAAGATCATTAAGGGGCTTGGCAATGAGTGAGAAATCCTTGATGAATCTTCTATAGAAACCCGCCTGACCCAAAATTGATCTCACTCCCTTGACATTCACCGAAGGTGGAAGCTTCTCAATAACCTCAATTTTGGCCTTATCCACCTCTATTCCTTTATGAGAGATCTCATGCCCAAGCACTATCCCTTCCTCCACCATGAAATGACATTTCTCCCAATTCAAGACAAGATTAACCTTTACACACCGAGCCAAACATTTCTCAAGATTAACTAGGCACTCTTAAAATGAAACCCCACCTACGGAGAAATCATCCATAAATACCTCCATTTCTTCCTCCAACATGTCTCCAAAAATTCTCATCATGCACCTTTGGAAAGTTGCGAGGGCATTACAAAGGCTAAAGGGCATTCTCCTATAGGAAAAGGTCCCATAGGGGCATGTAAATGTTGTCTTCTCTTGATCTTCAGGGTGGATTGGAATTTGGAAAAATCCCGAATAGCCATCAAGGAAGCAATAGAACTTGTGCCTTGTTAGTGTCTCTAACATTTGATCAATGAATGGAAGGGGAAAGTGATCCTTTTTGGTGGATGTATTTAGACGTCTATAGTCTATACACATCCTCCAACCCGTGATCTTCCTAGTTGGAATGAGCTCACCACTCTCATTCTTGACTACGGTTATACCCCCCTTCTTAGGAACGACATGAACGGGAGAAACCCACCTAGAGCTTGAGATGGGAAATATGATTCCCGCATCCAAGAGCTTGGTGATCTCTTTTTTCACCACCTCTCCCATTTGAGGGTGTAGCTTTCTTTGTTGTTCAATAGAACAAGGGTGCCTTCATCAAGCGTTATGTGGTGCGTACACAAAGCGGGGCTTATACCTTTAAGACCATCGATAGTATAGCCCAAAGAACCTTGGTGCTTTCTCAAGACACAACATAACGCTTGAGCTTGGCTCTCGCTCAAGTATGCACTAAAAATTACGGGGTAAGTGGAATTTGGGCCTAAGAATTCATACCTAGGGTGTGATGGTAGAGGTTTGAGCTCTACCATAGGCACACCTTTACCTTCTTTTGTTGCGGCCGCTTTCAAAGCTTCATGGCTTTAGATCTTCAAGCATAATCGTTCATCCACTTCCTCCATGCTTCCATTAAGCAATTCCTCATACAATGCTACCTCCTTGCATGGTACACCTAGCTTGTCTTTGTTCAACAAAACATTCTCAACAACATCGTTAGAGGTGAGCAAGTGCTCATGCATGGAAGACACAACATGATCAAGAGACTCAATCATCATGCAATTTTCAAGAGAAGAACTTGGATATTTCATGCTTTTATTCAAATCGAATTCTATGACCTCATCTCCTACCTTAAGGGAAATCTTTGCACACTTTACATCTATCATAGCACCCGAGGTAGCAAGAAAGGGTCTACCTAGAATAATTGGAATGGTAGCATCTTCATCCATTTCTAAAATAACAAAATCCACCGGGAACACAAACTTCCCAACCCTCAATGGAACATCTTCCACTTTACCTTTTGGAAACTTGATTGACCTATCGGCTAGTTTCAAGGTAATGTTAGAAGGTAAGAGTTCCCCTAGATCAAGTCTTTGATAAACCGAATATGGCATTAAGCTTACACTAGCTTTTAAGTCACATAAGGCATTATCAAATTGCATCTTGTTAATAGCACAAGGGATGAAAAAGTTTTCGGGGTCTTTCAACTTAAGTGGCATTTTGTTCATGATGATAGCACTACAATTTTCAGTCAAATTGATTGTCTCCACAACATCACAAGTCCTCTTTCCGCTCAAAATGTCTTTGAGGAATTTGGCATAATTAGGCATTTGGTTTATCACATCGGTGAAAGGTAGAGAAAGGTGAAGTTGTTTGAGCATATCAATAAATCTCCCAAATTGCTCATCCAATTTGTGTCTCATGAACTTTCGGGGATAAGGGAGCTTGGGTTTCACAATCTCTTTATATACTCTCACATCTCTTGGTGTCTCAACCACAACCTCATCTAAAGATGCTCTACTTCCCTCATTCTCAACCAAAACCTCCTTTGGGACCTCCTTGTTATCACTCCTCCTTGGCAATCTCTCCTCAATAACCTTACCACTCCTTGTAACAATAGCATTCACGGGTTTCTTGGGATCTAGGCCTTGGAAAGGTAAAGAAGAAGGGCTTACTTGGTCTTTCAAAGCACTAGCAAGTTGAGAAATTTGGTTTTCGAGCATTTTGTTGTGGGTCATCATTTCATTGAACTTCTTGTCACTAACGGCCATATATGTGTTCAACAACTTGGTTTGATTTTCAATTATTTCCTCCAAATTTGTCCTAGAAGAAGAAGATTGTGAATAGGAATTTTCACCTTGAGTCTTTGGAACAAATCCGGGTGGGGGACCTCTTTGAGAATTATTTTGAAAATTGCCCCTACCTTGATTGTTCCAATTACCCCTATTTTGATTTTGACCATAACCTTGATTATGGAATCCACTACCTTGGTTATGATTTCAATAACTTTGGTTTTGATTAACATAATTTTGGTTTTGATTTTGACTACTATAACCTTGATTGTTATAGTTGCCACGAGAACTTTGGTTCCCTTGGTTCCTATAACCACCACCTTGGTTATAGTTGTCAAAATTACCTTGGTTTTGGTAATTCCTATTCCATTGAACTCTTTGATTATCAAACCTTTGCACATTATTATTTGACACATAATTCACATGGTCACTCTCACTAGTATCAAAATCATCACCACATTCCGGAGAAGCATAAGGCAATTACAAGAGTCATGATCATAAGATCCACATGCATCACAAAATTAGAAACCACTAGGCATATTATTTGAAGAAGGAGGGGGTTGAGAGTTAGAAAAGGTACCTCTCCCTTAAATTGGGAGGGAGAATTCGAAGCTTGAGAAGAAAAGGGACCTTCCAACTTGGCCTTGATTGCGGTCATTTCTTTCCCCAAGTTTGTCATTTGTGAGGATAAGTTGTTGATCGCATTTAGATGGTCTATAGAGTAAACCAAACAACCACTCTTTCTAGTTGAATCCCTCTCACCATCTTGCCAATCTCTATAGTACTTAACCACGTCCTCTATAATGTCCACCACTTCCTCTTCCGTCCGATTCATTATGGGACCTCCGGCACCCCCATCAAGGCATGATTTTCCTTGAGGACTTAGGCCACCATAGAAAATTTGAATGACTTGATAAGTTGGAATTCCGTGGTGGGAATATTCCCTTTGATACTCTTTATACCTCTCCCATGCTTCGTAGAGGCTTTCATTAGGTCTTTGCTTGAACCCTTGAATCAAAGCTCTAGCCTCCGCCGTTTTCGTTTGTGGGTAGAATAGGGACAAGAATTCCTTGGTGACTCCGTCCCATTTTCGAAGGGAATTTGGCTTTACCTCCTTATCCAACCACTCCAAGGCTCGGCCTATGAGAGAAAATGGAAACAACTTTAGCCGGATGAATTCTAGAGAAACTCCGTTCACTTTGATAGTGTTGCAATACTTTTCGAACTCCTTGAGATGATTCAACGAACTCTTATTCTTAGCTCCGCTATATTATCTCCTTTCGATCAAAGCGATCATAGTCGGCCTAATTTTGAAGTCATTCGCCGGTGTTGTAGGTGGAGCAATTCCACTCTCAAACTTGTACGCACCAGGAATTCCCAATTCTTTCAAAGCAAATCTTGGTTGATCTCCCATGCCTAGTTCCTCTTCAAATCCTTCTTCTCTTGAAGAACTAAATTATAAGGATCGACTAGCAATTCTTCTCCTTGAAAGAGTCCTTTCGATTTC